CTTTACCAAACTATTGAGCAACATTAGTAATAAATTTATTAATTTATATGTTTTTAAAAATTTCAATATTTTAATAGCCATTTTAATTTTAAAAAATATTTGAATATTTTAATTTGTTGTATTAAATAATCAAAAAAGAAAATAATCAATAAATAAAAAATAATATGCAAAAGAAAATGAAGGAAAAAAAGAAAATGGAAAAAGATTATATTAGTTGAAAAAAAAAAGAAACGAAATGGAAACTTATATTTCTTTTTTTTGAAGAATATATTATTTTATACAACAAATTGTTTGTTTAACTGAGATGGAACACAACAAAAAAAAATAAATAAATAAATAATAAAATTACAACACAATAATTTCGTTATTTTAAAATTTGAATTTTAAGAATTTTTTTTTTCATTGATAAAATTCATATATTCTTAATCGATACATTTGTTTTATTTAAAATATAAAGTTTTGCTGTTAACTTTAATGTCAAAAATTGTGTTAGCTTTGGGCTTTTTTTCTTTAGTTTAAACTTTCATTTTTTCCTATAGCAAATTTAAATCATTTTCATTACAGTGAAAAAAAGTAAATAAATAAAAAAAAAATCTTTTTCCTATTAAAAATTCTTAGTTCCATTTAGTTGTTATGCTTTTAATCTATTTCCATTGTTAATTTAAAGTTATAGGAATTTGAAAAATGCTGTAAGTAGTGACAAAATAATTGAAACACATGATTGATGATGAATAATAGCCAGAAAAATTGCTATTTTTTTTAAATTTAAATTAAGTGAGTCATTAAGTAAACATAGATTTTGATTGATTAATTCTCATATGAGATGATCAGTCATTAGTTGTTATATAATAGCAAAAGGCATTGAATGCAAAATTAATTAATTGATGTGTTAATTTATTCACTTAACTTATTCTTTCTTTTTTTGTTTTATTAATTATGTGATATTTAATGCAATATTTGATAAATTTTTAACTATTTCAGCTTATATCTCTTTATATATTTATTTAAATTTTTATATATCATTCTATCATTAACTTTTTTGCTCTTCTTTTTCTCATTTTTTGATTTTTTTTTTCTCTTTTAGAGTTCAAAATTATAAAAATGAAGGAATATTTTTGATTCTATTTTCATGATAAATATAATAAATCTAAAATAAAATTTAAAATAATTGCGTTTTTATTTCTTTTTTTTAAACGGTATTTTGAATAATTAAACGTTTATGAAATATGTTCAAAAGAAAAGGAAATTATCAACAATTATTTGACTTAATTTATGCTTTTTTAATTTAGCTTTTGGATTAATTTTTTTCATTCTTAACATTTATATTTACTCTTTTTTACTTATTGTATTACTTTGATGTAAATTGAATGATTTTATTTGGAAAATTTCTAATTTTCGATTTCTTTTTTATCAACCACTGAAAATACAAAGGAAAGCATAGAACTTAATTGAGCATATAATCACTTCAAATAGAAAACAATCATGTTGTGATTTAAGATAATTTGTGAAACTTAAATAATCATATACTTATTTCAAATAATTTGCTAAGCTCTTGATTGTAAATTTAAATTAAGTTCAAATATTTGTAAATTAAGTTCAAATAATTCGTGTATTTTATAGGATCATATATTACTTTAAATCTGTGAAACTTTAATGGTTATATGCTTATTTAGAATGATTTATAATCATGTATTTACTTCATTCATACACTGCGATTCCCCTGTTGACTGTTTCTCGGATTTGTAAATTTTCTTTCTATTATGTTATGAATACAAAGTCCATTCAACAAAAGCTTTAAATTCTGTTGCAAATTAGGCCCATTCATTTTAAGGCTTAACAAAACGTATGCAAATAAACAAGCCTTTTCCTCTATAAGCTTCTTCATCCATTGATCACATTAAATCGTTGTATATTATCATTCGTTTAACAATATTCATTCATTTCTTTTCTTCTTTTTAACCTTTCAAAAATTACACATACATTTTCGTCACAAAGTTTTGTTAAAATATTAAATTTATTTCTATGCTAAAGCAAAAATCTTTTTCAAAAAAAAAGCGGAAAAAAAGAAAAAAACAAGAAAAGAAAATTGTTTAAATTGGTTTATAAATATTATCAAATTATCAGTGGTAGCAAAAAGAAATTTATTATTTACAAAATACATTATTTTTAAAATTTTTAGCTAAGAACTTATGTTTATGCACTATGTATGTAAAAAAAGAAGAAAAAAATTTGATGTATTGTTAAACTTATTTTAAAAGTTATTAAAAAAAAATTTGTTTTTGCTAATTACGATTAATTATTTTTTTTTAATTTTTAAAAATTCATTTATCATAAATTATTGTAAAGGTTATAATTATTATTTTAAATCTATTTGTGTGTTGAAAATAAATGACAATAAATATGAGTGAGATGAATCTGTTTACAAATGAACAGGTGACTATTGATATCCCTTCAATATGATCGATAGATTTTACGGAAAACATCAGCTAATGATATATATCTAAGTATAGCATGCTTACGTCATTCAGCGCCTGCTGTCCATTTGTTCAATTCCCTCGACAAGATCGCATTATCATCACCTTATCTCCTTCACCACTAAGCGGTAATGTCACTTTGGCTACTGATATTGTTCCATTTTAGTCCATTTATTTAGTTGTTTCTACTATTGTTATTGTTGCTGCTATCATTATTGTCTGTTGTTGTTGCTGTTATCAGCAATTGCTACTGTTGTTATTATTGTAGCTGTTGTTGTTGTTGTTTGTTGTTGTTGTCTGTTGTTTGTTGTTTGTTGTTGTTGTTGTTGTCTGTTGTTTGTTATTGTTGCTGTTGTTGTCTGTCGTTTGTTGTTGTTGTTGTTTGAAATTATTTCAGATTTCATATTAATCTAATATATTATCATCTATTACCAGCCATATATTTGTCATCAATAATATTCAAATATTTACGACTTACTTTTTCATTTTTTTTATTATTTTAATCAAGTCTTTGGATAATTTTTCTTCTAAATAATCATTAGTAATTACCACTTATTATTTCTTTGACTATCCATTTCATTCTTTGCAAAAGCTGATATGAATTATTCAATATTAATTAAAACAATTTAATCATTATTGAAATATATTTTAAAATTTGATTGGCTATTTGTTTTGTTCATTTCTCCAACTTTATTTATTGTCTCCGTGTTTGCTTTTTTGAACATTTACTTTTGAAATGACAATTTTTACTTTTTTTTTCAAAAAATGTTTATTTTGAAAAGTATTTCAAAATAAACATTTTTTGACACCTAAAATGATAAATTAAAGTTCTTGAATAAAAACTGACATAACAATTAAAATATTTGAACGTAAATGGATATCAGCAGTTGGTTATCAAGAAGTGATTTTCAAATGTATTATTTCAAAATTAATCAATAGAATATATCTAATACTGATAGGAGGTGAAAAATTATTCATGAAGAAATTTTTTTTTCAGTTATACGTTCGGAAGTATAGAAATTTATGAATTTTTCTTTATCGCTGTTAACAGCTGTAAATAATTTAAATTCTTAAAATTAATTACTTTGTTTCCGTTTTTTTTTTTTTTGATTCTTAAAATTAAATCTTTGGATTCAAAGAAAAAACCGTCACATGATGACTAAATGAATTAAAGAATTTGGAGCATACGTTCAAATTTTTCTTAAAAAAAGCATTTAATAAATTACATTTCTCAAAAGTAAGGCAAAAAACATATATTTTGAAATTGCTAAAACATGTTGAAATCATAATTTTCGATTTTTTTTCTTTTTTTTTTCTTTGGCTATGTATTAAACATAATTCTTGCTAGACATTTTAGCAACAAATTACAGATGGGACGAGAAATTTCAATTTCAGCAATTTCTCAGGCAATAAAAAAAATGCTTCACTGAATTACTTTTGACCTCTGATCTATTTAAATGTGTCAAATTTTTTCGTATACTAAGCACAAATTTTTTCCTTCTCAAATAAAGCAAAGAAAAAAGAAAAAAGAGAAAAGAAAGAGAGAGAAAAAATGAAGTTAGCCGAAATTTTTTGAAATATTTATTTATATAGCATACATCGAATTATTTGCAATTTTGATATAAAGGAATTCCATTGAATTTGCAATTTATTTTGAATTGAAAAAGTAGCATGGAACATCTCCCAGACATATATTTAGAAATAATGAAAGCGAGAAGAAGAAAAAGGAAGGCAATGGCAGGTTATTTGCCAAAAAAAGGCGATGTTTATTGCTTTTTAAATTTAATTCCCTCTAGTAAAACGACTAGATGCCACTTACTTTTTCACATTTTCCAGAAATATCCCAAAGCAAAGTATTGAGCTAAAAGAAAAAGAAAAATTTTTGAGCAATTTATTGATTCATCAATTTTTGGGAAGTTTACTTTAGACACTTCATTTCCATGGCATTAATAGTAGATGAAATCTAAATTTACTTTTATTGATAAATTTATGAATTTATTTTGTACAATAATTTTGTTGTATAGTTTTACTTCTAAATTTAATTATGTTATGACATTTTTTATTTAATTGTTAAAAACATATCTTAATCCATTCAAATTTATAAATTTGTATCCTATGAAAATTTCTGTTACAATTCAAGCCTCGAATTTTTTGAAAAATCGAGAACCATATGAACAATAAAATTTTTTAGTCTAATATAAATCATGACTTTTAAATCGACTTGGCGTTAATTAGTAAACTACACAACATTTAATAAATTGTTGCTTTACATATTAATGAATGTATTACTAAATGATGAGTGAAAGTAGATCAGAACTTATCAATATTTCTCCTTTTCATACCATTCAAAAATTTGGTTTTCAAATATAATAACAACACAATATTTTATTTTACTGGATGAAGTTTAAATTTTAATGGAAATAATAAAACGTTATATTTCACGTAACGAAATGAGGAAAAAACGATTCATACTTCAGAACTTATTTTTGATATATATACGTATATTTCAGTAAACCGATTGTAAGCATGAATCAACCGTTACGTTCGCAATCATTCAGACATCGTCCTCGAACATCAGTTCACGTGAAACGTCATCCATTCGATGATTCAGCGCAACAAGTTCGAGAACGTAGGCGCTCAACGCCTAATATTTTCCGATATTCCACTCTTCATTCGAGGTTCAGTAATTCCATTCTCATTGATTTACATTAGATATTCATATAAGAAAGAAGAATATTGCGGATTGAAATTTATGACGCAAGTTAAAATATGATATTATACGTATACGTAAAATTAGTCAAAAATTTACATATGGGCATTTATTTGTTCAGTAATATTTTGCTATTAAACTCTTTTAACTTGTTGACTTCTTAATCTACTAGCAATATTTAGATTAAAATTAATTTTAATGATTGTAAAATTTATGTAAAACAATTTTATTAGTTGCGTTTAATTAACATCACAAGGCGAGTTTGAAATTATACGTTAAAACTAGAATTACAATTGTTATATGTGAACCTGAAATGTTATCTCTTAAAACCTTACTTTACTTTGCTGATCCTGAAGCTACTCCTTTACTTGTAAAAGCTAACTCAATTTTATCCTAAAAGTAAATAAAATGAAAAAATCTACCAAAATTAGCGATAACTAATTAAGCGCTTCTTTTGCTTGTTTTTTATTTTCGTTTTTTTTCTCAGTTTTAAATTTTCTTTTAATCTTTAAATCCATTAACAATATTTAGATTAAAATTAATTTTGATAATTATGGAAGTTATGCAAAAGAGTTTTAAATTCTAAAGAATTAATTGCAGGAATAGAATTTTTAGGAATTAATTAATGAAATAAGATTATTGGAAATCAAAGGATAGAAGTAAATTTTGCTAATGTAATAATTTATAATACTCCTATTGATCTAGCCGCCTCATTTCACTGTGTGATAATGTTATCATTGAACTAGCCGATCTTTCGCCATCTTTTGAACTACACTCTTTCACTTTTATCATTCCCAAATTTTAAAGCACTTCACTATTATCTGTTAATCAAATATTCAAATGATAGGATATTATTTTATGGCTTCTGCTTATAACGGAAATTAAAATAGGGATTGTGCACTTTTATTAATGCAATTTCACCTTCTCACATATTTATTATTAATATTTTATTCCTTCTTCCTTTGCAAAAAGTTTCATTTAATTTCATTTAGATTATTCAAGAAAATTTTAGAACTAAAGAGGAAATGAAAATTTTTCATTGTTAATTACTGGTAGATAACAGCTTATTAATTTATCAAACATTACGATTTCTATAATAGTTTTTCCTTTTCACATTTGATCATTAACGCTTTATCATTCTATTTTTTAAAGTAATTTAAATTAATTCAAGTCACTGAATAAAATTTGAGGAAGGATGGAAATTTTTTTCTGTGCTAATTATCTTAAAATCAACATTTTATCAGTTTTCCAGATGTTCAAAAGCTCCAAAATTCCCTGCAAGTTCTACTTATTTTTTCTTTTTTTCCAAAAAAAAAAAAAAAAAAAAGCAAAACAAAAAAGAGAAATTAATCTTCCATTACACAATATGATTAATAGGATGTTGTTTGCAGTTGAAATGTTCGTCTGGTAAAGTGAAAAATAAGTTTGAATAGATTTAATTTGTTAAAAATTTATAAAATCATCATCATTTCATTTTGAAAAATGTCATAGTTTAAAATTTAAAAAAGCATGAAAGGAACGAAAAAAAAGCAAATTTAACTGCAGTAACTTTGAAACAGCTAAAACTATCATTTTTTAATTGTTTGATTTTAAAAGTGATATTTTATTAGTCAGAATTTTTTTTTGTAAAGAAATTTGTCAAATTTTTTAAAGTATTTAAAGCAAACTATTCCTTTCGACATTTCATTGTGAGGAATTTTATAAATAAACGTTTAATTAATATTAAAGAAAATATCACGCCATACAGTGGGAAAGCCAACGATGTTCATATTTCGACAGTGTTTGTAAAAAAAAAATTCTAAAATGAAAAAAATTTTTTAAAATTATAGAAAGAATTTAAGATTTTTAAAATTTGACTATCATTTTCTTAATTATTGCAACCGGCAGAGTAAATTATATTTACTGTTTATGCAAATTATTCCTAATAATTTTTTTATAATTGAAATTAATTTTTACAGATGGGTTTAACTTTTTTTTTCAAAATTTTCCTTATTTAACTAATATTTTGATCAATTAACTTCCATTTCTTCAAGTATTTGTCATAATTTTAAAAGAACAATGACCACAGAATGCATTCTTTTCTATCCCTATTTTTCTCTATCCGGATTTATCCAGCACATTATTTTATCAATCAGATTTCCGGAATCGAACAAATGTTAAACGAAGATTGAATATTTCATCTACATGAATTGTTTTTCCTAGTATACTATATTGTTTTTCTTAATTTTATTTTTACCTTTTGTCTGTTGTTGTTTTTTTAGGCATCGACCATCGGACATAACACGAACGGATGTTTGGCCGAAACCAAGAGAACGAGTGGCCGAGGATCGTTTTCTTAATTTGATAGATTCCGATGATTACACCCGAGTGCGCGAATTTAACATAGATGAAAAGGGTACTGTTGTTAGTCGAGGCGATTCGTTTCGTCTCAAAAGTCCTTCCTGTCATAAACGAGGTAAAATTGAACTTTATAATCATGAAATATATATTTTAATACTAGTCTACAGGAAAAAAAAGTAAAATATATTTAGACTTTCAAAACTTAAAAATACATTTAGCTAAATGAATAAGATAATTTAATTAATTAAAATATTTTCTTTTTCAAATTGTGATTTTTTTCTGCTTAAAATTTAACAAACAAATTTCATGCCGAACTTTTTTTTTGGGGGGAAAAAAGGTACTACTATTCGTGAGCTTAATTCAAAAAATTTGTTACATTTCATGAATTTGTTATATCTTAACTGGAAAGATTTTCTAGAATTACGAAAGGTAGATCGATCCGGTTTGTCAAATGAATCAAACAGCTCACATTCAATATCTGATGAGAGTATTATGCCTGTTAATAATAATGAAAAAGATGAAAATAATCAGCCATCGACAAGTACTGCTTTTTATGAGGTATGTCACAGCACTCAGATATTAATCTGATGCTAATATTTCTTTCATTTAAGTTTTTAATTTACTGATTTCATTGAAATATGTTTAATTTTGTTTTTTTTTTCCATCACATTTGATAATTTGTTCAATTAAGAATTGATTATCATTAAAACTTTTTTTTTGTTCATAATATAATTTACATATCAACGATATTAAATTGGTAAATCCATAAGTTTTTAATAGAAACCTTAAGTTTTGATAACTGTAAATTTTAGATATACGTACTTGGCTCAACAGGTGTGGGTAAAACTGCTCTAATTGGACAATTTATGACTTCGGATCATCGAAATACCTATGCTACTGATATAGGTGTGATTTTATTTTTAAAAATTGAGATATTAATTTAATGAAATTACAACATATATTTTATCATTCTTGACTTTATTTATCTTAAATTTTATGTTCAAATATTTTTTTATTAAAAAGAAAAGCATTTTATAGAGCAAGTTGACAACACAGTATCAATTATAATTGGTGATAAAGAAAGCGAATTAACATTTCTTGAAATTGATCCACATAATGTAAGTAATTTAATATATGGCTAATATTTTTATTTGTCAAACTCAGAGAATTATGTTTATTTCTAAGTTAAATCAGTAGTAGTTTAAATTGAAGAAACAGATTAAGGTTACATACAAAATCAATTTTATGCAATTAACATCCACTGTTATAATTTAGATTAGTAAAATAATTGAAAGTAGAAATATAATCAATTATTGTATTTGTTTACTGATGTTATCAGTTAATTTATTTATTATTATTTAGGATTGTTCTTGGTTAGATGGTAAAGCAGATATTTACTTACTCGTATACAGTATCGATTCAAAAAGTTCCTTCAAAGAAGTTATGAATGTTGTTGACTGTTTACGTGAATCAGAATCTGCACGACATACACCTATTGTCATGGCTGCTAATAAAGTTGATTTAGAACGAAAACGTGCTGTAAGTAAAACAGGTAAACAATTGAATAACAATATTTTAATTAAAAATTTTATTAATATTAATTTTGCTATATTTTGTCTTTGTACATTTATGCTTCAATACAAAAAATGAAAGATTAATATTTGTTTGTTTGTTTGTTTTTTTTTCTTTTTTTTTTTTTGCTTCTTCTCTCTTTTTTATTTCTTAATTTTATAAAAATATTTTTCAAAAAATGGGGCAATTTTCAAATTCAAAATTTAATTTTAGATGCAAAAAACGCTGCAATGACTTATAGCTTTGCGCATTATGAAGTATCAGTGGCGTTAAATTTAGACATTGATGATCTTTTGGTTGGACTTATTGCCGAAATTAAGCATTCATTAAAATCAGACTTGCTCGATTTTTGTGATGACATCAAAGTTTGTTTAAAACTTTCTATCTTGAAGATTTTTGTCGAGAAAGTATGTCATTTAAAATTTGAAAAATTTTTTTTCATTTTTAAACCAAAAAAAAAGAGAAAATAAAAATAAAAACGAAAGAAATCGTATACTACATGAAATGAAATTGATGTCAGTTTGAAAAATTTTTTGAAAGTCTTTTTTTTGTAGAAAAGTGTAATCCATTAAATATTCGCTAGTGCTTTTTAAATGAATATTTTTTCGAATTTAAAAAAATGAAACTTTAATTTTAATGTTAGAAAAAAAGAAAATGTGAAAAATTTTTTAAAATCTTGTTTAATATTTCCATCATTTTACTAAAAATCATTTTAGCCTTCTAAAGAAAACAATGATACGGAAGTGATGGAAGAGCCAAATGATTTCAAAGCTGCTATTCGAAGATATTCAAGGAGAAGACGACAGCAGATGGGTGACATCAATGAGGTAAACTTATTATATTATTTGTATATAAAACTAAATATATGTATGTTTTTCTGTCAAATCAAACGTTTTTAATTATTATCAATAATCATACAAGATAAGTGATATCAGCACAGGATTTAATGATTTATCACTGCATTCTTTTTGCAGAAACAAGCGAATAAATGTACGCATTTCAAAAGTAATCTTGTGGAACGTTTTCGAAATTGGAGACGATTATTGCCAAATTTAAATTATTAATTAGTATTTTCAAACCGGAAATTCTTCCTACCATTGCTCTTTCCAATTTTGTTTTTGAATTTATTGCACATTTGATTAAACCAATTATGAATAATGGTTTCTTTTTAAATGAATAAAATTCTGCAGAAAACAAAAAGTTTTATTGCAACAATTTTAAAGCAAATTCAATACACCAATTACACATTAATTATACGCAAATCAAAGATTGATATCATAAGAATTATTAAAAATTGTAATTGTAATAAGATATGTCACATTATATTGAATGTTTAGCAAGGAATATCATAAATATTGGGTATTTCACTTCATTAAATCATTATAGTTGTTATGAAAAAAAGAAAGGAAGAAGTAAATTTGACAAAAAAGGTATATGTTTAAGATGAAAGAAATTTTGCTCATAAATAAAAGTTTAATTATTCCGAAAAACACTTGTTTTGAAAGATAAGAATAGCTTCTTAATGCTCGTTTTAGCGTATTTAAATACTACATACAAAAATTTAATCCAAGCAAATTTTTGTATCGTAATAATATTTTTCTTTTAGGTAGAATATTAAAAAAAGAAAGAAGCAAAATTATCTTTGTAAATAGAAAATTATTAAAAGAATTCAGCAAAAATGTATGACAAAAATGAAAGCTCCCATGGGATGAGTTAGTTGCATAGTGATGTCGCTATGATTCAGGACTAATGTTGAAATTGCATAACGGTTTAGTGCTATGCTAAGAATTTTTTAGGAAACAATTGGGTGGTGAGTTTTGGTTAGGGTTATCTGTTCATTTCTCTGTGCATTGCTATATTTCATTACTTTCATAATTGATAAACTTGTTAGAATCCATTGCGTATTGATAATATTAAGTTAATTAATTTCTTACTTTTAATCATTTTCTCATTCAAGGAAAGGACGGAAATTTGTATAGTTGTTAGCTGAATGGAACAATTCTGACTTCGTATAGTAAGTATATTGTACGATATAATTTAATTATCATTTGGATAAGATTATTTGTAATTCGATTCCTTTCTTTATTGTAAAGTGAATAAGATTTAGTTGTTTAAGTTATGATCTATCCAACGCAAATAACTTCCTTTGCAATGATCTATTAGGAATGCAGTAGTGCACTCCCTTCTGCTTCATTGTTTTCAATTCTCATGAGGTTGTCTCCCTCCATTCATCGGTAATAAGTCATTATTAGCTTTTAGTCAGTTATAATACTGAAGCGAAGATAGGTGAAATGATGGTCATTTCTTTTTTATTCTTTCATTAGATTAGTGCATTTTGTCTTGTTTTGTTTTTTGTTAATTTTCATTTTTAGATATTTCAAGTTTTTAATAACTTACTAATTTTAACACGTAAAAGGAATAAACGTTAAAAAAAATTCGTTGCTTTTATTTTTTTTATTTTTTGGTGTTCAAACGATTTTCCAGAAGTCATACAAAATGACAGAATCACCTGCAATTGACTTTGACGTGTTATTTTACGATCATTTAATCAAAGAAGAACCAAAATTGGTAAATAAAGTGTTCAGTGCGCAACGACGAGATGAATTAGAAAAGAGACGAGTATGCCTTTATGGTTCTAAATTTTTCCCCTTTAATTTTTCATTCTATTTCTTTTTGAATTGTTTAGCTAGTACAAACACTTCACAGTATCTTATCATGTACTGAGAGACTCACAGACTGTTGTTGCAAACTCTTTGATTAAAAGCTGCTGATATGTCTTTATTTTCCAGCGGTCATCTGGTAATTTTAAGCCGCTTAAAGAGGTTGTAAAGGAGTATAATAAAATTGTATGTCGAAAACGTAGCGCGAATGGTATTATCAGTAATTCACCAATTGTTAAGAAAGCTCTAAGACAAAATGAAATGGATGATTCAAGCGGTAGCTCAGATAGCGAGGATCCAATCAAGCAGGCTGCGGTATTTTTTTTTTCCATAAACTTTTTGTTTTAAATAATTGAGCATTTTCTAAGTGATTGCTTGAGTTACTCTGCCAGAAAGCTGTAGCGCTTAACACGCCTATAGCTCAGTGGATTTAGTTAGTAAGTAGAAGTCTAGCTGTTGTGGAGATTGTTGGGACTGCTATCACTGTTACTCGGTAGGTTTGCCAGAACTTTCAGAAGTTCAGAAATTTTAATTGCATTGCTCATAATTTTTTAATGTTTATTGTTTTATTAAATGGAGCATATATAGCTAATTTCAGACGAAGATAATCAAGAGTGGAGGAACAAAACGGCCTCCTGTTCCATCATCATCTTCAAGTTCTGATTCTGATACTGATATTCCTGTTAGTTTTGCTGCTTTTCGTAAAGGCTGAGAAAAATAATTTAATGATATAGGTGAATAAATTCTTTGATTCTCTAACCATAAATTAATGGAAATCACTTAGGCGCATCAGAACTAAACGGTTTTGGATCGTTATAGTTTAAGCGGTGCCTTAAATCATATTGTCATTTCAGTAGCCGCAATTAATCTTCCATGATTGCGTAAAATTTCTGTTTAACGAACATAATTTAGTCCAAAGTTCCTTATAAGGCCAGCCGTAAACCAGCCGAATGGTAGAACTTCGTCACCATCAGATTTAAATTCTGATAGCGATGACAGCGGTAAGATGTCGGTGGTTTGGAATCGTTTTTTTAAGTCTAAACTTTTCTCCTATCTTAAATTTTATGGTCTAAAAAATTGAGTGGGCGTTTTATGAGTACCATGATTAACATGGATCTCTGTTGGACACTTATCAATAAAGATTTTTTTTCATGATTTACAAGTTATTTTCAGGGACAAATGATTTCGAAAACAGTTAAATTACCACAAACAAAATTGTCCGGATTCAGTAATTTATTAATCACAACAAAGAAGGACGCGAAAATTGCCAAACTCTCTCCATCGCTTAATCTCTTGACAGCAAAGAAGCAAATGAAAAAGGATAGTTCTAGTTCATCAAGCGGTTCAGATGAGGTTACGAAGGAAGAAATTAAAATTTCATCAACTGCAAAACAAGTTGTATCAAAGAAGGATTCGTCGACAAGTTCTAGCAGTGACGACAGTAATAGTGCCACAAAAAGGAAATTACTGCAAAGTAGGCCCGGAAAGCCAATCAGTGTTTTGTTTAACTCTAATTTGAAGAATAGTGTGGTTCCAGGAAGCTCATCTGACACTAGTACTGATGATAATGATGGTATGGGTTCGAATGTAAAAGAAAAAATTACTGGAGGAGCAATTTCAGTTGCACCATCTGCTAGTTTAGGAAATGCGGTTGTTGCAAAAAGATTGCCTAGAAGTTCATCTGAGAGCACTTCAAGTGATGATGATGCAGATAAGAGTTCCAGGCCATTAGTGCAAGGAGGTGTTTTCGAGAAAGCTGTTTCAACTGCGCGAAGCGCTAATGTAAGAAGTGCAGCTGTTGCAAAAAAATCTGAAAGTTCTTCTGATAGCACTTCTAGCAGTGATGATGATGCGGACAAAAGCCTAGGACTGAGAAATGGCATTAGGAAAGCAATGCCAGCTACGCTAGGTGCTAATGCGAAAAATATAGTCCCTGCAAAAAAATTGGCTGAAAGTTCATCTGACAGCACTTCAAGTGACGAGGATAATAATACAAATGAGAACGTGAAGCCACCAATGCAGGGGAAAGCTCTGGAGAAAGCAGTTCCAGCAACATTAAGCGGTAATTTAAAGAACACGGCTGTTACGAAGAAACCATCTGAAAGTTCTTCTGACACCACTTCTAGCAGTGATGATGATGCGGACAAAAGATTGAGGCCAGGAAATGTTCCCAAGAAAGCAATGCCAGCCACGCTAAGTGCTAATGCGAAAAATATAGTTCCTGCAAAAAAATTGGCTGAAAGTTCATCTGACAGCACTTCAAGTGACGATGATGATAATGCAAATAAAAGCGTGAAGCCACCAATGCAAGGGAAAGCAGTTCCAGCAACATTAAGCAGTAATTTGAGGAAAGCAGCTATTACGAAAAAATCACCTGAAGCTTCCTCTGACAGCACTTCTAGCAGTGATGATGATGCGGACAAAAAGTTGAGGCCAGGAAATGTTGCCAGGAAAGCAGCTCCAGCTACTGTAAGTGCTAATGCGAAAAAAACGATTCCTGCAAAAAAATTGGCTGAAAGTTCATCTGACAGCACTTCAAGTGACGATGATGACACAAATGAGAACGCGAAGCCACCAATGCAGGGAAAAGCTCTGGGTAAAGCAATTCCAATAACATTAAACGGTAATTTAAAGAACACGGCTGTTACGAAGAAACCAACTGAAAGTTCTTCTGACAGCACTTCTAGCAGTGATGATGATGCGGACAAAAGGTTGAGGCCAGGAAATGTTCCCAAGAAAGCAATGCCAGCCACGCTAAGTGCTAATGCGAAAAATATAGTTCCTGCAAAAAAATTGGCTGAAAGTTCATCTGACAGCACTTCAAGTGACGAGGATGATAATACAAATGAGAACGTGAAGCCACCAATGCAAGGGAAAGCAGTTCCAGCAACATTAAGCAGTAATTTGAGGAAAGCAGCTATTACGAAAAAATCATCTGAAGCTTCCTCTGACAGCACTTCTAGCAGTGATGATGATGCGGACAAAAAGTTGAGGCCAGGAAATGTTGCCAGGAAAGCAGCTCCAGCTACTGTAAGTGCTAATGCGAAAAAAACGATTCCTGCAAAAAAATTGGCTGAAAGTTCATCTGACAGCACTTCAAGTGACGATGATGATACAAATGAGAATGCGACGCCACGAATGCAGGGAAAAGCTCTGAGGAAAGAAGTTCCAGCAACATTAAGCAGTAATTTGAGGAAAGCAGCTATTACGAAAAAATCATCTGAAGCTTCCTCTGACAGTACTTCAAGTGACCATGACGGTGTAAATAGAAGTGTGAAGCAATTTATGCAGGGAAAAGTTCTTGGGAAAAGAGTTGCGGGCACGTTAACTGGTAATTTGAGAAACGCGGCTGTTACGAAGAAGTCATCTGAATTTTCATCTAATAGTAGCGATGATAGTGCAGACAAGAATCAGAAACAATACATAAATAAGTCTCTTACAGTCCCGGAAAATGAGAAACTTAATGATTGTGGGAAGATTTTGGATAAGAGGACTTCCAAGATTCTAGCACAAACACCTGCGAAAGCTATGTCTTGCACTGGGAAATTTCGAGTTAAAGGACATTTAGATGATGGCAGTTCGGATTCCGAAAGCGATATTGATAAAACACCGGCTAAAAAAACAAGGTTGCAGGTTCATCACAAAGCAGCAGTGGCAATTCGAAAGAAAGCAGCGGATATGAGCTCATCAGATTCTAGTGACAGTGACAGCAATAATGTAATGAAGCTAGCGAAAAATACGCAAAAAAAAGCTACCACCGTCTCGAGTAGTGCCATGAAGAGTAACTCGAGTTCTCCGGATTCTGATGAGTTAGACCTTGAGGTAACAGGAAAAACTAAGGCAGCAAAAGCAATTAGAGATAAAACCTTTTCAAATGAGAACACATCATCTTCTGATTCCAGCAGTAATAGCGAAGTAAGGAAAGCACAAATTGCAGCCGTTGCAAATCTCAAACAGCCAAAAAAATCGTTGCAGCAAGTGGCCGTTCAGTCGGAAGTCAAGTCGAGTTCTGATTCATCTTCAGATTCCGAAACAGTTATTCCTGAAAAAATAGCACGGAAGCAACAGCCAGTTAGGCTACAGCATCAGCAGGAAGTGACAAGGAAGCAAAAATTAATGGGTGATAGTTCATCTGATGGTAGTTCTTCCGATGATACTGTAGTTAAGACAGCTGAAATGATTAACAAAGCGGATAGGAGAAAGATTGAAAATTCGTCAGAATTAAATCTGAGTATAAATAAAGTCAGCACCACATCACGTGAACATTTACATCAAAAATCAGCATTAAAACTGTCAAGTAATTCCAAAGTTTCTGTAGAAAGCAATTCCGAAACTTCGTCAGGTTCAGATTCTGATGAAGCTACTTTGAGACCGTCGCAGTTGCAAACTGTAGCAGAGGTGCAGATAAATGGCAAACCTAATCTTACAAAAGATTCTGCTACCTCATCAGATTCAAGCTCAGAGAGCGATATGACTTCAAAGGAAAGAAACGTTGCAGTTATTTGTAAGCAGGCTAATAAAGGAACGTCAAAAGATGTTATCGGTTCCACAAAGAAAGCAGCAGCGAAACAGTTTGATCATTCTTTAAGTGGAACTGATGAAGGCAATGATAAAAGGTCAGCTTCTAAGAGTACCTTCAGACTTTTTTTTTTTTTTTATTAGACTGTAAATTTGTTAGAATTTAAACCAGTATATTTTACTTTGCTATTTCCAGTTTTTCTTCCCAGACATTCGATGTGCTTTTGTTTCAATTTTTTCTCCCTGTAATTTTTTTTTTCTTTTTTGTGTTTTTTAGGAAAGGTAGTAATACTCTGGGGAAAGCTATCGACACTCTGAAAACAGATTCGTACGAGGAGGTAATTTCTAAATCTTAAGATGTTTGATGGATTGTAATTGGTGAAATTAGATTAATAGATTAATTTGAAAGTTAATCCTGTTTAAAATCTTGTTATGTAGTCTTTTATTCTTATTCACATTATAAATTTCTTCAGGACAAAAATAAAAAGAGTCGGAGTCAAAAAAACGCAGATTTAAAGAAGGAAGACAATAACACGGACTTGAAGGATGAAAATGATAATCCGGAGAAGTTTGTATCTGTTCTTTAAATTGTTATAACAGTATAACCTAGTAGCAACCACAATCCTATTTAGTATCATCTTATGGGAAAGTGTAAGAATATTTTTGTTTGTGGAAAGGAATTTTGTACAAATTTTTGTCTATGTTTGTATTTGCAGAATGGGCAACAATCAGAAAAGTATGGGCAAAAACAATAAAAAACAAAAGGTTTGTTGTAGTTGTGATTTTTATCCTTTAGGTTGAAGTAGCCTAACGAATTTACTGTATTCCTTCCCATTTCGAAGTAGTTTATAAAGTTCGAAAAATATTGTAGGTATTGCAGAATGAACCGTTTCGTCGAGTGAAGACTTCGAAGGATGAATTGCATGACAAATTTCGCGATAATTCTTATCGAACAAAAGTAAAATTTTACATTTTTTTTTTCAAGCGAATTTTATAGTTTTCGTATCATTTCACTTCCAACTTTTTCCAGTAAAGGACTGCGGAGATTCACTTATCCATGAAGCATTTGCTTTTCACCTTTACCTCTTGATTTTCGCATCAAATTAAGGAAATAAAAATTTTTTAGCTTTTTGGTTGCTTTTATAGCACATATTTGTGGAGTTGGCAGCGAAATATTCGCTATTCTTTAAAGCGATAATTGGTTTATTTGAAGTTTGTTTGATTTTTATATATTCGTTTTAATGTTCTGTCCATTTAGACATACGACCAGTGGGGTAGAAAAGCGTATGAAGATATGAAAAATGTACAGGGCAAAGGATTTCGGCATGAAAAAACGAAGAAGAAACGTGGGTGCTACAGTGGTGGTAGTGGTGCAAAGATTGATACCAGCTCTCATTCGATTAAATTTAGTAGTGATACTGATTGAAGAAATATTTCGCGTTGTTGTGATTTTTTGTCAGTCTTATTAGTTAATTTGATATTTTGCACAAAGTTAGCTCTTTTCTGTTTCATGTATTTTGTTGAGCAGTTGCTCATTTGTTTATCACTTTTGAAGTTTTTTCTATTTTCCTTACTCTTGTCACTGTTTCTTCTAGCGTTGTTTCTAATGTTGATTAGTTTTGCGATGGGAATGTTAGAGTTGTTGAAAATTGCGGATTTTCTCGCACTGTTATTTTATTGATAAATATATTTTTTTAATTGTAGAACTTTATTTTTTTCCTTCACTTGAAGTTTCGGATAGACTTCATTCTATCTTCTGTCCTCTCTGGAAGGAAAATTTTTTCGTATTAATATAAAACGCTTAGAAATACAACAAAGGTGTTACTATATGGACATTGTTTTCATTATTAGTTAATGTGCAGTGCAGTTCATAGTCTACACTGTTACGGGTTTGTGCATTTGACGGGGATTTGGAATTGAAATTGGCGGTGTTCAAAGTTATTTTGGTGCTATTATTATATTCAAGGTGGAGAAAGGGTTAGTCTATATTGTAATTGTGACAGGTGCATCGATGTCAAATACGTAAGGGTGGCTTAAATTGATTTCATGATTTGGCTCAAAATTAGCAATGATTTTGCTGGCAAATCACCACCTGATTTGTTCGGTCTACCAAACGGTTTTAGCTTTTTTTGATATTTAGGTAGTGAAAAGTGTAAAGAGAGAATGTGTCGAGGGAGATTACAGTAAAGGTCAGAAATTTTGGCTGTGTAAAACTTCTGTTTTATCTGTGCACTTTTGTACTGAATATTCCTTGGAACAAGAGGTGACGATAAGTTGCAGGATTCGTAGATCATTGAAGTAAAATGGGAAAATCGAAAGTGCATCCAAACACTGAAGTGAAAATAGAAGTGGATGAAGATGTAAAGCCATTGGTAAATGATTTAGCTGATACTAGTGTATTGGGAACGCCGATGTCAGCTAAGGTTGGACAGGTATAATATTTAGCGCATGTTGTTTTGTGGTGGGACAATAGATGAAGAAATGTATTGTAATCATAACTTAAATAACAGTCAGCTGATATGTACAGGAATTACAATGTTTTGTGTTTTCATAATATTAATCAGTTGTGATACAAATTGCATGCAAGAAAAAGTAAGATTTGAACTATGATGTTTTGGCTGACCATTAGTTTCCATTGCTAGTAGCATTTTGAGTTTGAGTTAGTGTCCAATGTTTCAAATTTATAATTTCATATGCGGAACTAGTTTTCTGCATTACAAATTAGCTCCGATTTGAATTTCAGGATGAGTATGAAGAACTTTGTACTATGGTTAATGCTATTGCCCAACCACTTGCTCCAAGAAAAGTGGCAAAGAAAATTTACAAACTGATAAAGAAGGTATCAATTTTACTTTTTTTTTTGATTTTTTTTTTTTTTTGTTTTGTTTTTTTTAGCTTTTTTAACTTGTCCTACATAATTCTTGCTGGAAAATATTTATGGTTTCAAAAATCTTTTTTTTAGGCTTCTAAAGATAAGCAATATTTGAGGCAAGGGATGTGCGACGTACAAAAAGCTTTGAGAAGGAATGAAACTGGTATCGTTGTGCTTGCAGGTAGGATCTTTCAGCCGAGCTGAGCATTTCATTCCGTTGTTTAAATCGTATGACATGCACCATGGCCACATATTATGATTGACATTGATCTCCGAAATAAGATTATTCGTCTTCTGATATTAATTTTACATTAGGAAAAAAAAAAAAAAAAAAGATATAAGCAAAAAACATTTTCAACGTCTCTGAATTCCGAAAACTTTGAACAAACAATTGTTTACTCAAACTTTTTCTGGACTCGGATGCGTCAAAAATATTCTCGAAAACGAGTTCAAATTCTCACTTTGAAAAGATAAAATCTGTTTATAGGTAATGTATCACCAATAGATGTTTATTCACATATCCCATGCATATGTGAGGAAAAAGATATTCCATATATATTTACACCATCGCGCGAGCATCTCGGATTGGCTACTGGTAGGATTTTGGGATTCGACCATTAATTTGAATTTAACTTTAAGTTCTACTTCATCAGCAAAAATTATCAAGCTATTTTGTGGTAACAATTTCAATTTACTATGGAAATTATTTTGCATATCTTCCAGTGCTAAGTGTCTGGTCAGTTTTTATTCGTCGCTAAGCTGTGAGGTAGTTTAACTTCGTGGTTTGTTTAAATAAACTTATGCCTTGTTCTATTTCGTGGACAACATACCATTCTTAGACGAACTTATTTCTTGGTAGGATCGTTTGGGTTTGCTTTCCTGCTACCACCTGATGTAGTGTTTCAGGTCACAAAAGGGCTGCTATACTACTTCTCATAAAAGAACATGAAGATTACGCAGATTTGTTCCATGAAGTATCTGAATTAATTAAGAGGATCGCACCTGATATTTAACACAGAAATTATAATTACTTTTGCTGGAAATTGTTGCGCTTTGTTATTGTGGTATGTTGTATAAAGATCTCTACGTTTTGTCGTGCATTATTTACCTGCTTCAGTGAAACTGATAATAATTATGGTGAAGATAGTTTTTGCGTAACTTCATCTAGTTGTCTGGAGTTTAAATCAATAACAGCAGTTATCGAGCACTGGAACTGTTCGGTTGGAAAAAAATGATGACCTCTCGTTTCAATATATTGGTGTTCCAAAGGCGGACTTAAGAATGAACAAGGAAGAGATGCTTTATCATGCCACGTATTCTAAATAAAGTTGAATGAGGAAGTTTCCCATTGATATATCCATCACTACGTGAAGGGGTTAAGTCACACACGTTTGACTTATGTGTCTTAGCGCTTTTCTATCACTTTTTTAATAATCTGAATGAGTAAACAACGATTTCAATTATTCCTTCTGCTTTGGGATTCCGTCTTCTTTTGTAACTAGGATTGTGGTTAGGGTAGAATCGAAGCAATAACATGTAAGTTAATCACGTGTGAAAGTATTAACATTAGGTTTCTACACTTTATGTAGGCAGGAATAATAAGACTGGCTGAATGAATAAATTAGTGAAAATGAGCAAAAATGAACAATTGAAAATAATTTGAGAAAAATATCTGCATGCAAGTAAATGATAGGGTGGGATTATATTTCACATGTAGTAACTAATAATAATGAGGAAAAGGTCATAGTTATTTATTACTGGCAATTAATACAAAGAAGAAAGACACGTAACACGTACCGGAATTCCTCTTATTTAATTATATAAGTTAAAAAAGAAAAAAAAAGGAAATGCAGGGAATGGAAATTTCATGTAATTTTTTCAATAATTATATTTTGGGAATTATATAGTTTGATTCTTAATTAAATAGATGAAATCAACCAAAAAAGAATATTCATCTACTGAAGAAATATGTTTTTCACAGTGTTTTTCCTTTTTTTCCATTCCGTATAACACCATCATCACTGATAAAACGCTTATAATTTCTTTCAAAAAGAAAAAATTCACTACTTATATAAGGTGAAAACGAAAGTTCTGATGGTGTTTGATGAATATTACATTCAAAATAGCAGCAGACCTGTAAAAGTTCATTTTACCATCACAAATAGTTAACAGAAAAAAAGTAGAAAACTGAGAATCGAAGAAAAAGAAATTGGCGAGATTACTTGTATTGTAAGCGATTGGTTACAATTTATTTCGTCTTTTCTTCATCGCATTTTTTTTTTAATTTTATTTTTGATAAAATCACTGTTAAGCAACTGCATTAATATTAAACAAATCTTATTAAATTGTATACACAAAAGCAATGCAACAACAACAAAAAAAAAAACAACTTATTATATATTCAAATTATAACAGCAATTATCGTATAATCACAATTCGTTCTTTAATAATAGTAATGCGCAACGGCTAAAAAAGTTACAGCGTCCAGCGAAAAGTTAATTTTCTCGAAAAAATTTTTTCCACCAATCATCCAGTTTTTTGATGCTTTCGAAATGTCTTCCTTAGTAGTTTTATCCGACAGAATTGAGCCATATAATTTCCTGGTAGCTCTTAAGCTACTTTCGAATTAATATGCGTTTTTTAATTATCAATTAAATTTTTTGAAGCAGTTAAATTTTTTGGAAGAATCCCTAAAAATTCCGATTGTTCTAAAACTCCAAAAAAGTTTATTAGAATGCCAGCTGATATATATATATATATATATATATATATATATATAAAAGATAATGTTTCCAAAGCATTTCGAAAACACCTGAAAAACTGAACTTTTTAGATAGCACAAAAAACTTTCTGCGGACGCTTAAACCCGCCTGTTACAGCAATTATTTCTGAAATGCGTAGAAAACGCCATTCTCAATTTCACAGCAACATTCGATATCGTACGTCAAAGTGTTTTTATATAAAAAGTGGTTCGAATAATTTGAGAGTAGATCCATGATATTCTTGTTGGTTAAGTGTAATTTTCTGTTTCCGGAATGCCATAATACAGCAGATGCCATATTTATAACATCGTACATAGATTACGAATACGTTGTCTTGCACGACGCAATGGCGCTGAACGGCTTGGACGGGAATGCTCACCAGGTGGTAAATCTGCAACTGCTAATTTATCCTTGTTGATCAATAAATGAAGAAGCATAAATTTAAATTATGCTAATGCATACAATTACATAACATAATTAAATTCATTAATTAAACAATCAGAAAACATGATAATAACCTTATCATGCGACAAAATCAAGTTAAAAATTTAATACACATCACAAATTTTATCATATATCATTTAATGTGCTATTTTTCCTTTGTTTTTTTTTTTATCAAATGCTGATACAAGAATGCTTAAATAATACGTGCCCATATGAAAAAAACACGTGAAATTCCGAAAAATATTTGATCAAATGAATACTTGTACTAATACACTATGAAATGATTTTTTTTGAAAAAAACCTTACTGATACGAAAAATATTTTACTCTATTATATAGACAAAAATAA